GAGGGACAGTGAGGGGTGGGGAGCTGGGGAGAGATAGCAAGGGGAGAAATGCCAGATGTAGGTGATGGGGAGGAAGGCAGCAAATCACACTGCCACATGTGTACCTATGCAACAATTTTGCATGTTCTTCACATGTACCCCAAAACCTAAAATTCAATAAAATAGATAAATTGGGGAAAAAAAAAGGAATTTAACTGATTTACTTCAGATTTTATCAGGAAAGATGTTATCTAGCATCCTACTGCAATGTAATTGAGATATAGTAGATCATTTTAACCATTTCAGAATGGCATTTTTCTTGATATATAAAGTAAATAAAACATTATCCTAATTGGTAGCTGATGTCTGTTATAGCTGCAGCAATAACAATAAAATGTAGTGGGCTTAAAATAATCCTGCACATAGGCAGTGAAAAGCATTTACTGAAATTCCAGGCTGGAGTACATGCAGTGGCAGTTCCCTAACATTGTAGCTAAATAATAGTAAATACATGTTTTGTTTTGACCAATATATATGACAAACCATGTTTATATTCAAGTATATTGTCATTCTTGCTACCTGCAGTACTTTTTTAAACAAAGATGATTGTAAAAAAAAAAAAAAAATTCAAGTGTGCAATCATTTGAATCATGAGTTGAAGCAGAGATCCTCAACCCCCAGGCCATGGACTGATACGAAGCCACACAGCAGGAGGTGAGCAGCACTCGTGCAAACACTACCACCTGAGCTCTGCCTCCTGTCAGATCAGCAGTGGCATTAGATTTTCATTGGAGTGCGAACACTGTTGTGAACTGTGCATGTGAGAGTTCTAGGTTGCGTGCTCCTTATGAGAATCTAATACCTGATGATCTGAAGTAGAACAGTTTTATTCTGAAACCATCCCTACACCCCCGCCCCTCCCCAGTCTGTGGAAAAATTGTCTTCTACGAAACTGGTCCCTGGTATCCAAAAGGATGGGGACCGCTGAGTTAAAGGATGACCGAGTCACAATGTATTGGACTATACCCAACTCGGACCAGACTAGTGATCAGTGATTCAGAGGTTAAGCCAGAGTTTGGGAAGAAACTGATTCATCCAATTCTGACAAAGATCTGGAGGTCTGGAGGTCAAATATTACATACACATATGACAGACTTCATTTGGAACCTATACCACATCTGGGATGCAGAAATGTCTGGGAGACTAGTGAGCTGTAGTTATTTACATGAGAGACTAACAGCCCTTCTAAATAAAGAGCTCTTTCTCGTGAAAGTTAAGGCCACAGACCTCAGTGTCTAGATGATTCCAAGTTCAGCATGAAGTTTGAAACTTGGATTTATCCTTCACCTCAGCCTCCCAGGATCCATATTCTCAGCTGAGAAAGTGAGTAAACACAGAACGCATGGGCTTTGGTATGGTTTCAGTGCATTAAATACTCCAATAGATTGAGGGTCAGAGTGCCAACAGCACACAACAGAAGGCAGCAGCCTAATGGAAGGAAGCATCACTACGGACCTGTGGCAAGGCCCTTCCTACCTGTGTGACCAATGGAATCAATGGATGGAATCAATGCAGGCTCAGTGGTCACATTTTAAGGACAGGTAAGGTGTAACCTGAGGACTTCTAAAAATAAGTAGGAAAGATGGAGACCCTGTACTATTGGAGAATGTGATATATACCATTAATTATTCCTAGTTTGGTACCATTTGTACTCATAGATTGTGGGGCCTACAGGAAGATTGATTTCATATAAGATAAACCTATAGTGAATCATTAATAATCATTAATGCTAGATTGATGCCATCTTACCCTTCTTCATATATGGTCTTCCTATTTCATATCCCTTTATGTTTTGGGATTTTCTCCCCCTATTCTAGGTTGCTTTGTTGCGGGGAGGGTGGTGGTTTTGTTTTGTTCTGATAACCCTATTACTTCTGTTGGAAAAAAATTTCCTTCAGGAGTATGTAGTACTGATGGGTGGGTGAATGGGATTAGAGTGTGAAAACATTTCTAGAAGTGTCCTTGGACTGTTCAACTGGAATAAGTAGCTAAAACAACATATAATTACACATCCAAGAATGACAGAATTTGGGTTTATTTTTCCTGATTCTGATATATCATTTATACTTCAAGAAACAATCTTTTTTATAGGTCTACCTATATATAAAAAGATCACAGAACTTTTTATATATGAATATATATAAAATGAACTGAAACTAATGAATTAACTATTTTGAAAGTTTGATTCAGGTTGTAATATCAATAAATTTTCGTTTATGGGTCGATTGCCCTGTGCATCTAATGAGAAAACCAGGATCTAAAAAAACATTTTTTAGTCCTCATTAACATTTACTGATCTTCCATGAACCTGAAATAGGAAAGTTATATACAGAAAATTTGTGCAGATTTTAGTGACTGTTTATATCTCTGCAGCTCTGTGCTAACAGGAATAATGTATAAAGACCATAGTGACAGTTACATCTCCTTGAAGATGGCTGGTTTAAAGGCTTTCAATAACCTAAAGATGCCAGCTGTGATAATATAAGAAAATGAGTTTAGTACACCAATTATATGCTCCTGTAATTTTGTGGACTTTCCTTAGATTCCAATGTGGTGGACAGACCAAACAATTATCACTATATATTGCCACTTTACCATTTAAAATCAACTCATGGACATTGTGGTGTTATATTGCTGCCTTGTATCATCCCCTCCTTCAATTGAGAACTGTATGGGTTATGGCTGCAATCAAAGATGAACTCGTTTACAGCACTACAACTGCCTCAGTAATTAAGCACCAATAACTCAGGCTGGGGTTTGGGTTTGTACTACCTCTTACATATTTCAAGTTTTCAATGTTAATGCCTAGGCCACGAATTAATATCCTGGTAAAGTAAATAAAGTACCAAGAATATATATTCCTTGTGGCATTTATATACAGAAATAAGGATGACTGCATCAAAAATAGGATCTTATGGCCTCCTTTGCAGACTGAGCAATGGGATGTGATTTACTAAGCTTTAAAAAATTAGATTTGAAAAGACACTTTAATCCATGAAATAGTCTAACATGTATAATAAGAAGCTTCAGCCCTCAAGACTGCCCTTACAGCTATGCCAGGAGATGTGTCCGCCGTACGCCCTGCACTAGGGCCTCTTACACAGCAGGCAGGTGCGGGGCTGCCCCCTCCCCTTAGCTGACCAAGAGCATGGGGCGCCTTTTAGTAGTTGATCCGCCAGAGGGCGCTCCTTCCTCCAGCTGGCACAAAGGCGCTACAAGCGCTAGCCACCGCCCCGCGCGATCTATTTCCAAAGCCCTGGAAGAGCCCAATCCTTGCAGCAGCCCCTTGCGGAGGCAGAGCTCACTGTGCAGGGAGAGGGTAACACCATGGCATTTACCCAAACTCAGGCGACACAGAGAATGCCGAGGAGGAGGAGGGTAGAGCTGAGCCCCATGGACAGCCGCGGGATGGCAGAGGCCGGGGAGCTTACTTCCCACCCCATCGGTAGGGGCACCTCCAGCTCCTCTCCCTCAGGACGATGACCCATAGAGGCTCTTCCACAGTCCGGGGTAAACCAGGACTTGTGGATGCCAGAGAGAGAGCAGGAGCTTTGTCTTTTTTCTCTACAGTCTCAGTTCTCATGGCCTTCCTGAACTGCTACCTTCTGAAATCCCAACAGTGGCTTCCCAGTGCATCTCGGCTCATTTCTAAGGTGGTTTAGAAACCATATTTTAAAAAGCCATATAAAAGGAATTCGGGTATCATCTTACACCTAGCCTACGCTGTCTCCTCTTTGGTTCCTGCCTTTAGAATTTAGGAAGTTGTTTTGACTTTAAATAGTATTTATGCCAAGTTTAATATCCGAGTTTTTTTTTATTGTCAGGGAAAGTTATTGAACCTTCACCAGGAAATTGACTGCAGAGGAAACAGCTGCATCAGCACCCTAAAGGGCATCTGCTGCTCAGAAGCAGCCGCCGAGCCGGGTGGTTTGCACTGCTCAGGATGCATCCATAAATATGCAGAGTGCTTTACGTTCAAATGTCCGGTTCTCTTTATGAATTGTGTCTTAATCAAATGATGCATCAGAAAAAGGATGGTTGTACTTTGTCACTCTTGAGTTTTGAAGATAGAGGCGGAGGAGGAGGGGAGTCGGTGCTGGGCATGAGGAGAACCAGGTCTGCGAACCCAGGCTGGCCTTTCCTCCTGCTGAGCTAAGCGGCTAGGGATTGAGGTCCCTTCAAGGACCCGCCTGACCCAAATACGCCTGGTGGTGACCCTGACCTCCCCTCACATCAACTTCAGCAGACACTATTTGTCACTTCTTTCTATTTGAAAACAAAGCGAGGACACTGTCCCCAGAAGGTCCCTGTGAGCGTCTCCTTTCCTTGGGAAGAAGAGTGTCCCTGGAGGGCTTTCTCCCACCTTCTCCTTCCCCCGTGTTAGCACAGGAGAGTTCACTGCATTCCCTAAGTGTCACACAGGAAGGTGCAGGAAGTCTGAACCTGAGGCAGTGAAATAAAGGAGGGTTCATTTGTTTCAGAGTGCTGGGAACAGAGTGGCAACAAGTCCTGAAGGTCCAGTGGAGGGCAATAGTGTGGCCCAGTGAGATCCCTGACCCCTGAACTGTGAAGGGAACTGGAGAGGTTAAAGGCATCAGAACCTTCCAGAACACTAGGGTATCACTTTATCTTCCTTTTGGTTTTACTGTAATTAGAACCATTGATAACTCTAGCTGTGGAGACAGGAAATGAAGAACACGTAGTCTGTCACCTCTGTGAGGGGGCGTGGGTTGGCCATCACAATGGGTGGCTTTCCCTCCACTGTTCGTTTAGTATGCACAGAGCTACGACCTCCTGGCTGTTGGGCTTCTGTAGCCCTCGATCTCCAGTTGCACACTCTGGCTATCATTATAGTCATCGTGGGGTCCTCACCACCGCCTGCTCCCACATACAGTCCTGTCTGTTCTGCCTTCCAAACATCTCCTATTCCTGTCTATCCTCACAGCCGGCACTGGCCCAGATCCTCATGCTCCGTCATGCAGGCCGTTACCATACACTGCTCTCCTAGCTGGGCTCCCCGCCACCTGCAGTTGGCCCTCTCCGAGACCCATCTTGGGCACAGCTGCCAGATGAACAGATGAACTCTTCTGTTAGTGTAGGTTCCAGCTCACAAAATCTAGCATCTTCTAGAAGCCTCTAGATTCTGTCAATTCAAATTAATTGGCCATTGAAAGTATTCCAAACTCTTAACTTCCAGCTCACTTTTCCAGCATGAGCCATCCTTCACCAAATGGTTCTACATGGTGTTTTCTGCCCGATTCCCTGTCCTCCTTTATGTTTGCACCCATCCTTCCCCTATCTGTATATTTAAAGCCCTAAATGTCTGACCCTTCTCAACTGCCCCTTTCTTCATGAAGTTGTTCCTGCTGTCCTTCAGTCAAAAGCGATCTCATTCACCCTTCTTCCCACCATACTCATCACTTTCTACCTTGCAATATAAATCTTGGTGCACCTGTCTAGTCAAATGGTTAAAGCATATGCATTTTTAGGAGAGAATCCTTGACTTATTCATTTTATAACCCTTTTATCACCTAAAGCCATGACTTGCACCTGGGTGCTGGAGAAATTTCTATCTTGTGGCCAAATTCACTGAAAAGTTTGCCATTTTTATGGCCAAAGAATTTATGATGGTTGGGTAGAATTTTGAAGCAGGGACCTATGGCAATAGAAATGTCTGACAATTTTGTCCCATCCCTTGCTTGATGCTGTTTGAAACCCCTGGTTTTTATGCTCCTGGTCGTTAGTTTCCTGGTTGTCCTGTGCACCCTAAACTATATGAAAATAAAGGGATTCCTTTTCTTTGTTTAGGTTGGGTACTGGCCTGTCCTCTTTGGAGTATGCTGTAATGAGTGTCTCTCTTCCCTGCTGGAGGCAAAAGCCCCTTTGCCTTTAACTCTTAGTCAGTTCAGCAATCTCTTTACTATTAAATAAGTTTCTTCATTCGTGTGTCCTGCTACCACCACCCTGCTGCCTAATTGTTTTAACCTATTATTTTTGACCTTTAAAATGCCTAATACTTCATTATTTGTATTTGTGTTTACTATTTTATATAGTTCTGTATTCAGTCTTTCCTATTTTTGAAATCATGCACTGTTTTGGCAGTTCTTCATATTTTTTCTCAGTTGGAAAGGGATCCATCCAAAATCTTTTAAGTGTTTGGGAATCATGATTCTTTTGGTCCCAAGACACCCCATGAAACAGGAAGTTAGTAGACAATGTCTGGCCTAAGGGTTTTCTTCAGTCTCAGTAGCTAGATCTGCCTGTTTACACAGTCTTTGTAAGACCATGAACACAGTAAGACAAGAGCAAGCAAATGTATAAAAAGACAAAGCAGCCACCAGATCTTTTGGTTAATTTCAATTCCTAGGCTTCAGGTTTCCTCGTCTGCAAAACAAAGCCATTTCTAGGTAGAAAATGCTGTAATTTTATGAGCCTATAAAATTTATCTCTAGGAGGGAAGGAGAAAATAAAACATAAAACAACATAAATGTTGACAAAACATTTAGGGGTTTTCATGACTTTTGAATACGCAAATTTTTGAATTCAAGCTCTGTTCAAAATAGCTCCGCTTGATTTAATTACAAGTAATTTCCAAAGTCCCCCATGACTATATTATATTTGAAGGATAATATAATAATACTCATGAGGAAGTTATGTAATTACTTGGGTAAGACAAGAGTCTCAATCTCATCACTATAAAAACTATACACTAATGTTACCTATAGATGTTTAAATAATAAAAATGCCTTAAATATAAGAAATAGCAGCGTATGAAAATGTATGCATGTCCATTATCTCACTTGAGGCTCACAAAGTCTTGACGAGGGCAGGGTTAGTTTATCTCCATTTTACATGGAAGGCAACTAAGGATCAAAGAACCAGCAAGGAAAAAAAAAAAAAAAAAAAAAAAAACACCAACAAGAAAAATGGAACCCCTCTGCTTTGTTTTTTCTTCTCCAGTGCTTTGTCTGATCTTAAAAGCAATGCTGTTTTCAAGTGGTGAAGTAGGAAAATGGAAGCAATGTCGTGGAGTTTCATTCTTAAGTCATTTCTTTTGATTCAGCTATTATTCTTGGAATCTTGGTGGCATTTTGATATTTTTGGGGTCAAAAAAGCATGAATGGTAATGATGTCTGAGAAAGACAGAATTTTTGGCTAAACTTAACATATTGACTTTTAATATGACTGTTTATGGTACTCTTTGGGCAATTAATATGTAATGTTGTTTTATTAGAAACTTCTTTTTGTACTGTGGTTGTGCTATCCATGTGATTTTTTGCCCTGGGGTTTTAGATTGCTTGGAAACCTAAGGAAATTGGAAACAGAAATGTTATGGAGACATTGCATCATTCTTAGCAAGAGAGCATATGATTCATTATTCTGACATCTCGCCTGTCTTCCTAACAGTCTGATTGGCTATTTAGCTGTATAGAAATCTCTTGACATCTGGGAAGCTCAAAGGAAAAAAAGCAGTCCCACTTTATTATCCCATGCTCTCCAGGCCTGCCAAGTACCTTATACGAAAGATAACAAGGGTATGAGATTGCAAACATCAGTTTAATGATAAAGCACTTGTCAGGAGATAAAGTCTTATGTGTAAGGCATGAGCACTTATGAACTAGAGACTATTTGGGGGAAGATATGAAGTGAGGAATGTGAGATTGGGCTTTCGTTTTGTATAATATTTCCTATAGTGATACTTGATATTGGGAACATCATGGATAGTAATCTCCACATGTGAAATATGATGATTTTAACATGAAACTCTCAAGGTAAATGTTTAAAGATTTTTCAATATTTCTAGCTATTCTGAATTAACTCTTGATACTGTTTCAGTGTGTGTGTGTGCACCTGCTTCAGTCATGTAATTTGGAGTTTCAACTCTGGCTTTACAAAAGATCTTGTGGCAATTCATTGTCTCCAAAGAGAGAAGCAAATGGAAAATCCCTGAGAAAACAGGGTCTGAGATGAAGCACTTTGGCCACTGGGTGCCATCCTTGCTCCACGTAAGGATTTGCTGAGCCAGATTTCTAGGAAAATGGTTAAAACCCCAAAGACAGTAATTTAAAAGTAATTTCGAGATATAACAATGTTTGTGTGTGCACATGACCTGGAATATGTTAGTGACACGGGCAGCTTATTCATTTGCCCAGGCACGAGGCGGAGGGACCGAGGGATTCTCCCTTTTGGTTTAGCCTTAAGAACAAAGCCTGGGTAAGGCCCTTGTGCTTGCTGTAGCCCAGAGAGGCAGCCAGCGGGTGGCACAGGAGGCGCCGTGGAGGTCTGGGGATTGTTGATGAGATGGTGCAGCAGGCATCTGGAGGTCAGCAGGTCAGATGCTGCATTAATTATTTTTATTGTGGTGTGTAATGGCAGCATGCATGCAGCCAGGAGACTTGAGCCTCGCTGTCTGTGTGCCTGCACTCTATCCCTTCAAATGCATTCATTTCCTTGCCAGAGCTGATAGAACCATTAAGCACTCCTTCTCTTCCCCTTCCTCAGAATGTCGCATGTTGGTGGAATGGTAGCTCTGTTGAGGTGCTTTTTGCTTCCCTAGAAGCAATTCATAACATTCACAAAGATGCCACCTTAGCCAGATATCAGAATATCTGCAGTCAATGACACAACATTTGTGCAGGATTTTTCTGTGTTTGGATTTGATGTCCTTATATATACAACCAAGGAATTAAACTCAGCATTATGAACAAGAATAGCCACAGAGAGTATTCCAAGATTGTCATGTAATTCAGGATAATGTTTCCATCCAGGGCCTAAAAATTTGGTTGAGACTAAAAGGAATTAGGCTGTGAACAAGTCCAAATTTTAATAAAAACTGAAAGTCTGTTACAGTCCCACTGTAACAGAAAACTCTAGAATCAGTTTCTATAAGACCACATGGTAGAAGGGATCTAAGTTCAAAACAGATTTCACCTCATCTCCCCAGGCTGAGGGTCCCAGCATCTGGCCTCACACTGGCTCTGAAAGCCGTGTCCCAGAGCAGCATCCACAAGTCCTTCTTTACACTCACTGTAATCAAATCCACACCCACGAAAGGCGAAAGTCTGAGAAGGGCTGGTGAGAACTTACAGCGAGGCTCTGTTCAACCTATCCAGGGATAAGAGGCTTAAATACTGTTCTGTTGTTAAGCATCTGCAGGTGGACAGACTTTAAAATACATTTCCTGAGCTTTCTGTAGGATAACATGATACCAATCATTATACATTTTCAAATATTGCTGTTCACTAAGAGAAATGCTATGATAGCCATAGCATTCTTGCTGATTTCAAGTGCTTTCACGGCTCTTATTTCATTGAATGTTACCAGCAAACCTCCAAAAGAGGCATCAGCGGCTGTATCCCTTTTAAGGATCAGGCAGCTAAGAGAGATGTTACACCGCCAGCTTGGAGACCTCGGCTTGTGCTGAGGCCCTTTTCTTGGGCCCCAGTATATGCTCCTCAGTCTCCTCAGTGTAACAGTCATCTGGAGAACAAACATTTGCTGAACATTTTACCAGCTGCCAGGCCTGTTTTTGGTGCCTTACCTGTATTAATTCATTTAGTCTTCAGAAAAACCCTACTATTATTTTTCTTATTTTACAGATGATAAAACTGAGGTTCAAAGAGCAATGCCCAGGTAACTACATGGCACATATTAAGAAATCGAGGTATGGGTGGGCAAGCTGAGTTTGTAAGATCCCTTTTGAAATGACATGGAATGCTTTTTGTTTGAGACTCTCCTGGCCTTGGCTTGACCCTCTTCTTATCGTCTGATTGTGGGCCCTTGAATCATCTTGGTTTACTTCCTCAATAGATAAGTTCAGGTTTCAACAGACTCTACTAAGAATGTTTTGGTTTGTCTGTTTTGAGTTACATAGTTTGTAAAGTATTCCAGCCCCATTGCTTTAGCGGGTATGATTCCTTAGCCTTCAACATTCTGAAGTATCAACCTCAAGGGCTGTGTTTGTGGGCACTGACAGCACCTCTTTTCTCCAAAGGGCAAATTTCAAACAATTCCTGTACTGAGTGATCCCATTCCTCTTGCTACCAGGTTCATTTTCCCAACATATACTATAATTCACCTCCGGCCTTCCTGGAGACAGAGACGAGTTCTGTGCGAACCTAGCTTGGTGATTTCTGCGGGAACAGGCGGCCGTCCTCACTACTTGGGCTTAAGTTTGTCAAACAACTCTGTAAGCCACTGAAGCTGGCCTTTGAGGAAGACCAATTTTTACTCTTTCCCTCACTATCAAAAGAAAAGATTTAGAATTCGGAAACAAACGAGAAGAGAGTGAGAGGCTTTCTGTGATGACATTGCTCCGATATGTATTTAAATTGAATTTCTTTTTTAAAAAAACTGTGAAGAAATTTATGCTTCTGCCTGATATATCTTTTAAACCATCAGGGTCTTCTTGAAAACAGCTTTACTCTGGTTCTCTGAGGAGTTGTGTGTGAGGGCAAAAGCTGGTCATTCTGAAAACCCCTGAAAGACCAAAGGTCCACTGTTCTAGTGTAAGCAGTGGCCCTGTCTGCCCTGGGGTGCAAGCAAGATTCTCTCCCCACAGGAACTCTTTCTCTTATTGCGTGGTAAATTCATTCATGAGAAGGCAGGGTTGAATAGGGCCCAAGGTCCCAGATGTAAAATCTTCTTCCTCTATATAGTATGCAAAAGCCCAAAGTCTTCCCAGGAAATGTTACAAATGAGAGTATAGTGCACACCAAAAGGAAAACCTACCCCACAGAATGGGCTCCTGCAAAGCCAACTGCTACCCTCAGAGCCACCTGGCCATTCCTGGGGCTGCCTGCTATGACTTTGCACTAAGCACCCAGGTGGCCCCTTGGCCAAATATACAAAGCCTCACGTTGCACATGGAGCCCTCGGGTGCTCACTGCGGACTGGCTTGCTCTACAAAGGGGTAAAAGTGGCCTCTGGCAGAGCCTAGTTTCTTATCTTTCAGTAACCCCCTCTAGAAGGGAACTATGCGTCCCCAAGTTCCAGTTTGGAAAATATCAGGGACATTTTCTGATTGGGCCCACTTGGTTCACTTTTCTATCCCTGGACCAATAAACAGTGATGAGGAGTGTGTGCATAGAAAAATGTGTCAGTTGGAAAAATCAAATCCAGGTGGAAACATGGGGTCATAGTGGAAGGAGGGCCAGTTCTAGAAAGGAAAGAGGTACCAGGTGGAGGGTATCATAGGCGTCCTTCACAGTACATGCAGGTAATTTTTGATGACCTCATGCCCTCTCTTATGGTAGGCAGGCATTTCCTTGGATACAGGTAAGATGCCCACAAGGACCTCTTCATTAATGTCTAGAAACTGGGTGACACCCACAAGTGACGGGTCTGTCTGCCGAAGTAGTTCCCCAAGTGATGATGGCTATATTGCATTATTGAAAAGAACGGTCTGCTATGTCCTTAAAGCATTTCTATTTCCACAACTAAATAGAAATCAGGGGTGACCCCACTGATGCTCACCCTTATTTGGCTCTCAAACTCACCCAAATATTATAAGCAAATAAATATAACTTCCAGGGACATGCCAATTAAACTGGTCCAGGAACTCCTCATTAATGACTAGCTCATCAGGTCATCTCAGATCAGCCTCTTTCTCTTGTATTTGGACACTAGAGACTCTGATATATAGAAAAAAACCCTGCAACTGGATCAACCAATAACCCACAGATTTCTTCTAGTCATTTCTTCACGAATTTATTGGGACCTGCTGGAGAATTAAGGAGATCAGACAGGCCAAACATCCCTATATCTGATGTCTGAAACTCATAGTAAAATAGCTCAATTCCTAATCTACTTCCTGGCCTCATTAGAATTCAATTAGTAGATGGACGTTCCTTTCTAGAGGCTCGTTGGCAGATTTGTGTGTGAACAGTTAACCTGGTGTTAGCAAAAGCAGTTACTTGGATCCAAACAGCTCTCTCCAGCTGCAAAGATGAATCCCAAAGCTGTTTAGACAGGACTGTGCTTATCCTCCCACCAGGATGCAAATATTTTAAGTTGGACAGAGTGAGATAAAATCCAGTGTTGCCCATAACACTGACCGCATCCTGTGCCTGCTGCATTTTTGGACTTGAAGGTCAGGGGAAGAAGGTGAAGGAAGGGACGCTGGAGACAAGGAGGCGAAGAATATCCTCCATGACTTTGTTGAAAATTATTTTCCAAGTAAACAAGCTTGGGCTTTAAAATGTATGAACACATATTCTACCAAAGTATGTGGAAATATCCATGTATTTCTTGAACAGAAAGAACTGCTCATCAGACCATAAAAAGCAGAATATTTGAGGGTTGGACAACCGTGAGTTGGTTTTTTTTTTTGCTTTTTTTTTTTTTTTTTTTTTTTGTCTGCAGTATTTTCTGCAGTGTTCTTCAGATGCCTGAATGTGGAGATTTATTTTTCTTCTAACGGGGTATGTTATAGTTGTCATTCAGCCTTGAAATAGTCTTTCCCTCCAGTGGACCATCAGGCCAGTAATATATTTGCGTAGCTATTCCCAACTGTCACTCCTCTGCCAGACTTCATGCGTCAGCATTGCACAGTACGCCCAGCCAGCCAATGGCAGACTTTGAAGCTGCTGCCTTTAAGGAACTTGTTTTCAAAATATTTGCAGTCACCCAGCAACAGGAAAAGGCATTTCATTGGCTCTCTCACTGTCAGCTGGAAAGGAGGATGATACAGATGGGCCTCAGCTGTGAAGATCAAGATGAGGAATGGGGGGCGGGGTAGATGTTTGCATACAAAAGCCTCTCAGTGGCAAATGTGGTATTTTATAAGTATCAGGTAAAGCAATGTTTTCCTCCATAAGAATCAAATGTAAAAAAGTGGCACCATACCGGGGCAGGTCGTTTTCATCTGCAGTGTCATAAAATGCATAGAAGATAGATGTTGGTGCCAAATCTTATCTGCCTTATCTTCCCTTATCCAAGATAAAGGGAAGTGCTGCTGGGGAATGGGGAGGGCCTCCGTGGGAAGTGAATTAGGGCTTTTGGTGTGGAGGCAAGCCTCGCTCTGCTAGAGTGACATGCCATGTAAAGTGGGTATTTTAAATGCAAAGAGAGTTCCCAAAGTTACTCTATCAATATCTGATCTTGTGAATTTCATTGCCCTTAAAAAGTTCTTCATTCAGGGCCGGGCGTGGTGGCTCAAGCCTGTAATCCCAGCACTTTGGGAGGCCGAGGCGGGTGGATCACGAGGTCAAGAGATCGAGACCATCCTGGTCAACATGGTGAAACCCCGTCTCTACTAAAA